AAAAAAAAAAAAAAAAAACCCGCCCCCCCCAGCCCGCCTAGCGCCTATGCCGATTTTTCGCACACTTCTGATTGGGTTTATAGAGCTTTAGAAATGACATACTGGGCACTTAGTAGACAAGTCTAAGGACGACAGCGTTTCATCATCGATGTCAAGGTCCTCAAGCTCCAACCACCTCACGTTCCCGTTGGCTTCAGTAATCTCATTTTCCAGTACCTCCAAGACGCTCCGTTTTGCATTGCCCTCACTCAAACGGTCCTCTTCTGAATCAGAATTCAAATCAGCATCCACACACATTATCGCCGCCATCCTCTCAGCCAACCCAGGAACTTCCATTAACTACACAACCAAACAAACCACCAAAGATTAAAGCTTCATTCTTTTCGAATTTTTCTCGGAAACCAAACAGAGCACTAGAAAATCAGGACGTCTAGAGAAGTAAAGAACCTGCTTGTAAGCATCGGAGAGGCGGAAAGTCCAGGCGTGATCGATAAGGAAGACGTCAGAGTGTTCGGGCATGGATTCGGAGGTCAAAACAAGACGCCGCTGACGGCCGTCCTCGGTGGGTTCGATTTGGAAGTGGGACCCGTCATCGAAGCTCTCCGAAAGAAGCTTCTGGAACAGCTGGCGGTGCAGTGACTGAGGCAATCCCGAGGCCGCCAGAAGCAGACCGTGAACTTTGACGGTCCTCGTAGGTTTCGATTCTCGTCATTGCTATTGTCGACTGCGTACGACGAGGTTTCACTTGCTGTGTCTGATCTGATGAGTGTCTCACTGGTTTTGGCGGCTGCTGGGTGAGAAAAGAGGAGGAAGAGGATTCCTTTTTTTTTTGGTCAAGAGAGGAAGAGGATTCTAGTTTCCAGGAGAATTTAGATTTGGGTTGGGCTTTATTTGGTTCCATTCTATTATAAACGTATAGCCGCGCGGCTATACTCTATAAATAGAATATTTTACCAGTATAGCCGTGCGGCTATACCCTCCAAATAGAATATTTTAATAGTATATTAGAATATTTTACAAGTAAAGCCGATCGGCTATACCTATTAAATAGAATAATTTAAAAATATAGCTGCGCGGCCATACCCTGCGCTGCATTTCTTTTTTAAATACTTTAATTAGTATTTAAAAATGTTATTAAAGAAAAAGTAAATAAAAGAGTATTTATTAAGCAATATAACTTATGAAGTTAATTAAAATATTTAATACTAATTAGGCTTATTTACTGTAGTATTATCTGAAACTTTGGTCAAATCTCACTTTATCCCCTGAAAGTTAAAATGGCCCACTTAACCCCCTTGACCAAGGTTTGGTGTTCCAGTTTGCCGCCTACCGTCATCTCCATTAAGAACTCCGTCAATTTTGATGACGTGGCATGGCTATTTTAATCTTTTTACCATAAATGATGATGGGTGAGATGTAGGCTCCACTTTTTCTACTTAAGTAGACTAAAATATTAATAAAAAATTAAAATTAAATAATGTAATTACCTGTTAATATATAAAAAAAAATCAAAATTGGAAAAAAATTAATATTAAAAAAAATCTCTTCTTCTCCGTCTCTCTCCCTCTGTCGTCTCCTCCCCTTCCCCTATAACTTCACACCATGCTCAGCGTCACCTCTCACAGTTCATAGTTGGGTTTGGCATTGGGTTTACATCGGTATGGCAGCTTACGCTTCTGAGCTTGGCTGTGGGTCCATTGATAGCTATTGCAGGGGGAGCTTATACAATAATTAGGTCTACCTTATCAGAAAAGGGTGCGGCTGTATATATATATATTTGAGAATCCTTAATTTGGGGCTGAATTTTATGAATCTGGCCACCAATGCATCCTTTTATTTTTCTCTCACATTTTGCATTCGTATACTGTACTCATTTGGGGGAAAGGACAGAACCATTGAAGCATACTCAAATTCACTTAATTTCCTCAAACTGGGTAAAAAGGGTGGATTTGCAAAAGGAGTTGGTGTAGGCTTTACATATGGATTGTTGTTTTGTGCTTGGGCATTGCTCCTCTGGTATGCTGGCATACTTGTAAGGGAAAGGGGAGGTCATGGCGGGGTGGGGTGGGTGACTGTGAATGTCGGGGCTGGGCTTGGGAGAAGAGAGAGGAACAGAGAGAGAGGTGGGGGTGTCTTGAGAAGTTGTGAGGAGGGAGGGTGGTAAGGGTTGGTTGCTGGGTTGGGTGGTGGTTGTGGTCTGATGATGTGAAGTTTGGGGAAGGGGAGGGGACGACAGAGGGAGAGAGATGGAGAAGAATAGATTTTTTTTAAATTAATTTTTTTCCATTTTTGATATTTTTTTATATTAACAAATAATTACATTATTTAATTATTTAATTATAATTATTTATTAATATTTTAGTTTACTTAAGTAGAAAAAGTGGGGCCTACATCTCACACATCATCATTTATGATAAAAATACTAAAACAGTGATGCCACATCATCAAAATTGACGGAGTTAATAATGGAGATAACGGTAAGGGGCAAGTTGGAACACCAAACCTTGGTCAAGGGGGTTAAGTGGGTCATTTTAACTTTCGGGGGATAAAGTGAGATTTGACCAAAATTTCAGAGGGTACTACAGTAAATAAGCCTACTAATTATTCTCTAAAGAAATACATGAATCAAAATGTAGAACACAAGACATTTGGATGTGAAAAGAAACAGTAAGAACCGGGTTCGCTAGGTTCATTATGTCTTTGAAAGTTGTCTACAACTTAAAGGAAAAATGAAAAACATACAACTGGATTGAATAAACTCACCGAAATTTGGATTCGAAGTGTCCAGGATATATTTAGATTTGGGTTGGGCTTTATTTGCTTAGATAGTTGTTGGGGCCACTATTGGGCTTAATGGATTGGATAGTAGTTGGGCTCACTTTTGGAGAATATCTTGACTTCAATCGGGTCAAAGTCAATGGCAAAGTAAGAGACGAAAGATCATGAGACCTCAAATTCAATTTTCATGTGGTTGGGGCCCACTTTATTACAAGGCTTCTTAAAAATCATCATCTGTTACTTCCCCTAAATTCTCCTCATTCTATGTGTTATTGGAAAATTCTATGTCTAAATTGTCACCTGCTATAGGTACTGTTAAATGTTGTCCTCCCTTTTTTTTTTTTTTTGGTGGTGGATGCATCGATTACTTTAATGTTTTGTGTTTTTAACTTCATTTTGAGTGCATGTTGCTTTGCCTAACAACAAAAGTTTACACCATTGACTTCATTTTTAGTGAAAGACCTAGTTTCATCGAATACAAAATCTTAAAGTTAAAGAGATATGCATTTAGTCGTAAACTATGAGTATCAAAGTAAATTTAGATGCTTTTATGTTTGCACAAGTTCAATTCTAGAATGTTCGAGAAACAATTGCAAAGGCAAAAGGAAATACCTCTATAAGAAAAAAAATGTACACTACTAATACTATGTTGTTGGCGCTAAAACTGATCAGATAGAGATGAGTGCAACTTACAAGTAAAGTGGACGATCTAGAGATCGATTGAGTGCTTGACGCAGATTCTTCCTTTCCTTGGATGCTGATCCTGAATAAAAGGAAGCCGAGGCTCGTGAGGTCTACGGAACCGGTGTGGGACCAGCCTAAGACCCTCCGATGCCGAAGTAAGTTTGTTTCTATGAGCCTTTGCTACTGACAATGTATTTAGCATAAAAGTCAAGCTGAAAAGTCTTA